ATTGGATTTTAGGGTTTCTTTTTCTTATACTTTATATAAACATTTTATCAAAATGTTGGCTTTAAAAAAGATATTCGCATTTGTTTCTAAATAGAGTGTGAAGTAACTTAAGCTGTCAAATTGTCTGAATTGAGTAAAAATATCTTTAATTTGTACTTGAGCAAATAAACCTAGTTGCATTCCACCACTGCATACATGAGCATGTTTGTTATCTTTAAACCCCCAAAAGACCTCTGGGAATGCATGACTTTACTTTGTTGTCCTCACCTGCATGAGGTAGAAGGGTGGGGCCACGGTGGGGTGTGTGTTGATGTAGTACACGGCCAGTAAGGTCAGAACTACAAGCACCACCAGTGCTGCCACTACACCCGCTATGATAGCCGTGTTCTCCGTTATCCCCGTATGGTGGGGTGGACTCGACTGTAAATCTGAAAAGACAGAAAAAAAGTATCTTTTTTTTATTCTAGCAATACCACACACACAGCATAGTTCATCCGAGAGGTAAAAAGTGAGTTCTAATAAACCGGAATAGTTAATTATTATATTATATAACTGTTGTAATGTTTAGGTAATGTGGAGGAGGGCATGTATTTTGCTTCTCCTGTTACACAACTGTTTCCCTTTTTTAAAACTTGGTTTAGTTTTTGAGCTTCTGTAAACTTTCTGAAGAATTGTGTAAATACTTTGGTTGCATTCTTCAATGTTCTTGTTCTTAAGTTCTTATTTTCTAAATTTGTGTCAGAAATCAGGGAAAATTCTAAAAGTCCAGAACTTCTAGCAGTCTTTTCATGACAGTATGAAATGTTGTACTTTTATAATATTGTCAAACCAAGAGAAATACCTTCATTATCTATGGAAAAATCTGAATCCAAGTCACCATCAAGTAACATACATCTCTATCTCTTTTCCCCTAGCGTCTGCTTCAGAGGAGTTTACCTCTAGTGACCGGCTGCTCTTCCATCTCCGCTGAAGAAGGTGTTGGACCTGGAGAGGACTGGTTGTAGGAGCTCATGGATCCCTCAGGTAGTACCGGGATGTAGTCCTCACATGAGCCTTTTGCCTGAGTAAATGACCACAGTTCGACTCAAGAAAATACGAAACAACTGCTCATAATTTCTCTGTTTGTACGATGGGAAATGTATCTCACCTCTTCAGGGCAGTTATAATCTAACCACTCTTGCCTGTGTCGGTCGATACCGTCGGAACATCTGAAACCCAGTGAGAAGAAAATCAATAGAGCAAGGCTCTCTGCGGATTAATTCCAAGATAAATCTTTTGGAGTTTCGTCCTACCGTTGAAGTGTGTTGCACCAGCCACAGCCGGTTGTCATGTTGGATGTTATGCAGAGATCACAGGATGTGTGTTGGAGACAGGCTGGAGGAATCAGATACAGTGTCTAAAGTTAGACGGTTAAACAATGAGACTCACGTAAAGGCTAAAAGGTTTTTAAGGATACTTACTAGGCAGAGGCGTGAACTCAAAAGCAGATCTCCCTACGATCTTTGTGATGTTCATCTCAACACGGTGATACTCATAGATAGTACGGCGCTGTGCTTCTTCAAGACAAATATAAAATGTTAGTATGTTTGAAAGATTTATGTTTCTGCTCTGTGGGATTTAAAGGCTAAAGACTGTGGTCCATTCCACCTTTTTTATAACCCATTAAAACAGGCTTCAAATCCCAGTATTTCTTTATAACATCCAAGTTTCAGAAAATAATCATCCTTAGATATTATTTATTTAGAGTGTAATGCTCAATAAGTAATCTCAGTCAGCACTGTGTATACAGTACATGCTTTTATCTGACTCAATTGCCCGAGCTGGAAAAATAAGCAAGCAATCCCATGATAAGATTTATTTAAAATATGTCTAAATATTCCCCTATATACTTTAAAGAAACGGAGGAAAGCTCAGACAGAAACCTATCATTGAATAACAATATTATTACAAAAAATGTGGTAGATTATCGTGTGTTCATTTAGGACCCCAGTCGATTGTAGTTTTGAAGAAAAATACAAACATAACAGAAAACCCTATCAAGAAACTATATGTTTTGTCAAAGCAGCAGCTATACATCTACATAATAATAATAAAAAAAAAGACTTTATTTGGAGAACTCACCTGAGACCTGCGAGGGGGGAGGGAGTGCCATGAAAGCATCGGACAGTCCCACTTTTACTGGATGCTCAGTGGAATTCATTTTCTCCACTGGTATAGGGATCTGAAGTAATACCATCTTTTGTTTTAACACCTTTTAGAAGTATATCATTAAGAAAACAAGGAGTTGAAAAACATGACTCACATCTCTGTAGTTGAACACAATGGTTCCGTTTTTGTTGAGGACTGCCTGGAAAGTAAAAGGTCCTTCGGTCTCTCGGTCCTTAAGCGACACGCTGTCCCACTGCACCACAAATACATTACCTGAGCAGAGCAGGATACACAGGCTGGTCAAAGAAAACCAGGAGCTCCCAAACATTACACTCTGCCACAGGAGCTCCTCACTTACCGTTGTCCGAGTATCTCACTGTGGAGTTTTTGGCATAGCTGGGGTCAAAGTTGGCCATGAGGGGAGCGATGTACTGCGTGGCAGTCAGCATCCGATGAGTAATATCTCCCATAAAGATGAATCCTGGTGGCAGGTAGTACAGATGTTAAAATTGTGTTGCAAGTTTGTATCAATTAAATACTAATGTTATGTTTTTTTTTTTTTTCTAAAACAGGCTGTATTTTCATATTTAAAAATTATTTTTACTGTTTTGTGACCAGTGCGTGTTTGTAGCTGAGTATCAAAATCTGTTGAGAACTGAAAGCTGGTATATGATATGGTATTTGGTCAATTTTGAAATCTTGTTCACTTACTCTTTGTTTAGATATTCCAATTTAAATTACATGTTTTGTCTTCTTTATTCTCGCCAAAACTCTGGTATTGTATTGGCAGTAGTAGTGAAAGATGTAAACAATACCAAGCCATTCTACTATGCAGCGTTTGTTGTCAATTGATGTCTTTATGAGAGGGAAATCTATTATCAGATCCCAAAAATGTGTTAAATCAAGCATTAACTCTCTCTCTCTCGCGCGGGATTGTTTACTTGGGACAAGCCTTTAAGCAATTCAAGTCATCAAAAAATGAAGGCGTTTACAGTTAACCAGATTCATTTTAGCTTGGTATGCCCAAATATTTCCCCAGGGTGTGATGAAGTCTCATTCAACATACTGGTAGTAATTTAATTTCCTGATTGGAAGAGCAATGTAGATGAGCACTGCTGTATTATTAAGGAATGTAAAGTGATACTCACCCCCTGTCGCTATGATAATTTGTCTCAAGTGGTGTCCATAAAAAGGGAAATCAAAAGACAGCGCCACCCTCTGTGAAAAGAAAACGCATCAGACATTTCTTGGTGTTAAACATATGGTTCAGTGTGTACGTGTGTGTGCAATTGTTTTTACCGCTGCTTGTCGATGTGCGTTGGACAGTATGCCGTGGATCTGGACTTGGCTCTTGTGAAGGCTGTTCAGATTTACCCACAATTCCTCCGTTCGTCTGTCTGCTGGACCAAAGCTCTGCCATTTGTAGTACCGCTGGGAGTCCTCCTTACAGAAACAGGTCACTCATTAGAAGTGAAGTTTTTCATTTGACATTATTCAGCAGGAGGTGTTTAGAGTGTATTGTTTGGTGGTATACGTTTTAAGGTATCTACAGTATGTTTTTACCAATCATAATCAGGTGCTTTTTATTGCTTAGCATGTGGGGAACATATAAACAAGATGACAGACAAGAGTTTTGAAGGTTCAGCTTTCAGAATGAATTGCAATCAGCTGCAGCCAAGCAAATTTGCTGACAGTCATGTTACAGTCTGCCTATTCAGAATCAGAATCAGAATCAGAAACAGGTTTATTGCCAGGTAGGTTCGCACATACTAGGAATTTGAAATGTTGTCACAGTGTCTTGTGATTAGAAACAATGTTTACATACATTTTTTAAACATGGGTATTTATTTTGCCCTAGTACTCATTTTATAATCATTAATGTATCTATTTGTTTTGTGTATTTTGTGTTTTTCAGACATTTGGCCATGATATGATCCAGTGTGCCTGTGATGGTGGATCAGAGAGGACCAGGGTCAGTGTGACATGAGAACAGTGTTTTTCAACCGGGGGATCAGCACCCTGCGAACAGCTCAATGAATCTAAGGAATCGTAAGGTACGAAAAAACATCAAATCATGTTTTTTGAAAGTCGTGTTTGATGTGAGTATAATATGTCATGTTTCTCTGGCGATGTCCACTATGCTGATTATACGATAAAGCAACCAACTTTTTGGTTGGAAATATGTGGCAAAATTGTATTAAAAAGCTTTATTTAGCCATTTCTGAAGCATATCTCATCCAGGACCAAATAGCATCTAGAATAAAAAGACAAATATTATTACTTCACAGTATATACTGTAAATGTGGTTGCAAAAAAGTTAAAACTATTGAGGAAGTCTATTACATGAACTGGGAGGTCTTTGTGAGTTAATGTGGGATGACCCAAAAATGATCAAAGGGGAGATCTGTGTTAAGGGATTGGTGGGATACGACGTCACCAGACATCTGGGATCTTTCTCTTCTATTTCTAAACAGTTCCACTTGGGGGAGCTGTTTACACATCAAACTCAGTGCTTTGACTACGCACAGCTCTCAGTTCTTGATGGCGTTATTAATGTATGCCACAGTTCAAGGTGACAGAGAGCAATGGTTCTGGGGTTTAGTGTGGGCTCAGAAAGTGGAGCAGTTAAATGCAGCGCTCTCACTGCCTCTCCGGCTGCTCCATATACAGCAAGTGACCCACTTTTTTCTCACATCTCTATTGCCTGTCACCAGCCAGTGTCTTCTAGTGGGGGGTGTGGGTTTTCTAGTTGAATAGAAGGCAACAATCATATACTTTTCCCCTCACAGATGACCGATTCATTAAAGAAGCTCCCATTGGCCAAAGAGGTGGAGAGTTTTTGAAACTGGGATCAGACCTCCCCCAAAAAGGCAACAGCAGCCATAGAACAGGGCCGCGTGTGATCTTGTCCAAGTGAGTCATTCACGAGCACACACACATGCACACGCGCACATACTCACGCTTAAACAAACACTGTAAGTTGGCAGGACTAGGCTGTCGTCTGTTTTCAATTTGAATTGGACTGAGAGGTAAATTAAAAAAACAAAACATACAAAACCATTTATTTTGGTTGAATTTGACTGAGGTTGAAGTGAAAGAAAGAGACAGAGTTTACAAATAAACCCTTCATACACACTCAAACACAGACACACACTGATGCAAAAGGTTACCTGAGAGAATAACAATATTCCCCTCAAGCACAGTGTTAAGATAATGACCCAATAATATTCAGATTAAAGCTTTTACAATGCCTGTAAATAACACCCTAGTTATAATAACCTATCAGTTTCACTTAATTCATATAGCCTGACATTGTGATATGTTTGCCAATTTTTTTTGGAAGGAGTATTATTTTCCAAAATAATCAGTCATGATTTTCATTCTTATCATTCCAACCTCATTTTTAGGTAAAATAAAATCAGCAATTGACAACATGTTTTTCATGAAGATATAAGAACCCAGCCATTTGTAGAACCTTCATGACTGAAAGCTAGGAACAATTTCTGTGGCAATTTTCTATTGAAATGTTTCATGGTTGTAGCTATGTAGCTAGATAGCTATGTAAGAAGACGACGCAAGCTCCCAGGAAGAGCGGCAGGCGATGAAGAAGCGTTTTCTAGTGGACAAACGGCAGTACCACAACTTCCGTGTCAAAGGATGCCATTTGGCCCAGAAATACGTTTTCCCATCAACTTACATTGGGAACGAGATGTCTGTAAATCAGTGCATATTTCTTATTGAGCTAAATCTACTACCTAGTACACACTTGCATAGACCATATTTAAATCATTACGTCCTAAAAGCCGAATCCATTGATAATTTCCCACTCCATTCATTTGATTGAGCCAAGAACAGCGATGACACAGCGGATTGGATGCGGGGCGAGAGAAAACATGTATGTACGCATGCTTTATGTTCTCAGATCCTTGGATAATCTAAGAATTTTTGTAATAGTTAGATTTTACTTTATCCGCCATTGAGCAACTTTCATAAGAATGTATAGGGTCCTGGCTCCAACGCTATATCTTGTTGTCTTTATAAATCCATGTAATGACCTCCCCGTTCGTGTGGATGGCACTGTAACAAGAGTTCAAGCTAGCCATGTTGGTCTCATCTACTGTGTGCAAGACAGTTCCAGATGGTTCTATTTAAAAACTCAGGCAAAGGACTGTGCGCTATTCTTTAACAGAAACTGGGTGGTTAACCAAATGTACATTTGCCAAACCAACCAGTTAGTCTTCATCCCTCAAGTCTTTTACTGTTTCTCACAGTTTGACAACATTTTGGATAACTTCCCAAACTCTGTTTAAGGTAAGCAGTGCATAGCCACTTACATAACAATATGGTATTAATAATTACATTACATTTCATTTACTTTTTTCCATAGTGACTTTCAGTCAGTGCAACCAACCACGAAGATACAAACTCAGAAAATCAAAAAACCTGCAAGTTCATTCGTTTAAAAAACACTTCCTGATTTTAGTACTATTTTTTTTTGTTATTCATTTAAATGGCTTTGGTGCAGTACAAATTGGTGGGTTTACAATCTGTGATGTCCTGTCCTGATATCAATGGGCAGCTCTTTCAACCATTTGGCAGCCAGGAAAGCCAACAGACATTTTTTTGTTGAATGGTACCTGGGTCCCACTCGTAGTGAGGGATTAGTGTGCCAATTGGCCAATGATGAGTGAAGTGCACGTGCTGGAGTGTGTGGTTTAACCATGTCCTGTATGTAGAAATGGCCTGATCTATTCCAAGCATGTTAGGCCAGTACAAGTGTCTTTAAAACAGATTAGCTAGTGACAGGTTTTCAAAAATGATACAGGCATTATGGTGAACGATATGATTAGCCCACCCCCACTCACCACTATGCGGGTCATGTTGTCAGGCAGGGTAGTGATATCAAGTCCTCTTCCTTCAGTGTGTCGCACTTCTCTGTGTTGGTGTGGGGGATGCTGGTCCCTCCTGGTTCTGTGCAAACCGTAAAAATCCCCATCTGTCTGCAGAACAGTCTCGCTAAGTGCATCTAGAACAAGATGGGAGTTATTGTTACTGAACAGTTAACCTCACATGGGCCCTGAATAGATCCATGAAGGAACAGATGTCTCTTAACTCTGCAGGGCCAATATGTTTTGTTATTGCCATGTTTAATCACGATGCAGTAATTCTTCACGTGTTATTTACCATTACATGGATACGCTTAGCCAGTTCCTAAACAAATAAAGCACACAATTCTAGATTCCAGACTTTTGAGAAAAACACGATCTTTCAACTGTGTCTTTGTTTTCAAGAAGTGTGAAGGGAGCTCATAAATGATCTATTAAATGTTAGATATTTTTTAAAGGTTTTTAACCTCGCGGTCACATCTGTTCATTATTGGTTACCATTATTAGGTCCATTAACAGGAAGACATGTAATCCGTGTTTATGGCAATATCTCCCACAAAGAAAGAAAAAAGAACTCGCAAAAAACAGAATCATGAGCACACTTTCTTCTCTCATTCATGCAGAGTTTCTTTTTAATCACTGCATTTTAAACTAATACTTTGGCATCTGTGGTTTTGGGTGTTTATTGACTATTTGTGAAGTATGATACAACCTTAATGTAGTTCCAGAATTTTATATTGGCCACGTGTTTTTCTGCTGACCACTTTCATTTGTGTAGGCTTCTTGTCATCTGCGCAACAGATCATCGATTTGAACTTTTCTTTCATTTTTTTAACAGTAAAATGATCCATGAGTCACTGTCATATGAATGTACTCAAACAGAGTTGTGAGATCAGCAGAACAGGCTGATCGTTCCATCGGGTGAAGGTCTCTGCTGTTTTCCTACTGAATAACAACTTGAAGGTTAAATCAAGTATGCTGTCAAGATTTTATGTGGGCCGTGAGTTCACTTGTGTGAGCTATTAAGTAACTGCATGTTTATGAACATCTTGAGAGAGGCAAAGCGACGGGGATTAGACCTCCTTCAGCCTTTGTTTTTATAAATGGTGTTGACAATGTATAAGTATGTGCACCCTTTTTGGGTACGGTCCACAAACTAGTTTGTAGTCTTAATCTGGAGTTGTTTTTCTTTCATTGGCTTGGTCTGTTTGTTCCAATTGAAATCATAGTGCTTCTGCTTTCAATAATCCTTTAGACAATAATTTGCTTCCAGCATGGTGGTAACAGTTTGTGTTTAACACATTTCTGTGTCAACATTACTATGCCCCCCCCCTTCCATAAAGTCCATGAAGAAACGTTTTCCCAATTTGGTGTGAAAGAACTTTATGGGCGACATTATTGATTATTTTCTGTGCAACCAGGACCCAACACCATTTTAAAAGCCTTCCAGAAAGAGTTGAGGCTGGTACAGCAATAAGATGTTCAACATTATTGGTTTAACGTTTGGCTGTTTTTCTGCTGTGCTTAAAGGTAGTGTATGTAGAATTGTCTGTTGCTGTTTGTTTTAAAACGTTTCACAGTTAGCACCTTGCAGCTGAAGCAAGAGTTACAGAGCAAGCACAACTTAGGCGTAGGCTCCACGAGGACGAAAACGGGTTGAATCCGCATATTTCTCATGCGTATAGCCCTTTAAGCTCGACGACGCCGTAACAGAAACGTAGAAACAGACCCCGCAAACGACAACGGGTCCAAAGGTGGATAGATCTGGGAACGGAGCGCTCTGGGGGGTCCAACGGGGCCGTGGGGTCGCCTATACGGTCATGCGTTTCATAGCCCCGCCTCTCCCCGCCTCTCCCTGCCTCTGCTGCTCACCCCCGCAAAAGTATACTGCACACTGAATTCAGATTATTTATCTTTATCTCGATATGAACATAAACGCGAGTGAAGTCTAATCTGACAGGACGGAGACACGCAGCTCCTCCGGCTGTGAAGCAGCGAGAGCAAAACACACACTTCAAGTCAGATCACCACCCTTAGCTATTTTAATTACCTCTCAAACTACCTAAACTAGTTATAAATATGTTTATTTTTACTGTCGGGTTTACTTACTGGATCAGCTGCTGCATGAGGAAGCATGAAGATTTAAACTTTAACACACATTGACCGGCGAAAAACTCTGCGCGGTTCCCTCGGCCCCCACCCATGGATGTGCCCCCACCGCGGAGAATAAACAGAAGTGCAGCCATGACAACCATTCTTCTTCGCTGCTTTTGTGGAGGAAGTTGCTGCTTTTGTGGAGGAAGTTACAGCGCCACGTACAGGTTCGGCATATGTACTGCAGCTTTTCCAGCGGTTGGATGTAAACGGAGCCGTCTCGTGGAGCTTGACACAATCCGGTGTATATTGCGTGTGGTCGGGAGGTTTTTTGCGGTTGCGTTTGCGTTACTCCGATGCGTTTTGCCGTATTTGTCCTCGTGGAGCCGGGGCCTTAGGTAGTGCGCAATAGAGGGTGAATGAAGAGAGGAAGCTGCATCATGCAGAACTAAGCAGGGAGTCACAGCAATAAAATGCTATTTTCTTTTGGGCTTTTGCAATCCTCATGCGTAGACTGTAGCGTTGGGCGTTGTGTCGGTAAATGCGTGCATCAACTCGCTTCGTAAACAAAAAAGTAGCAACAAAAAGCGTATCCTGAGCAGCCACTTCACAAGTGTTCTAAAGCACAAATCATCGCACAGGCCTGCAGGAAAGTGTTCCACTCCACCACCTAAAACACAGGGATGAGCAAAACCTTGTATCTGTACCTCTGTATCAGCAGGGCCATGTTAAGAGAGACGCTGAGGGTTGTGAAAAAGTGGCAATTTGATAAGAACATATGCCTACCAGCACCTCTGAATCTCACATATTTGTATACGTCATATCTTGTTTGTTTAATGAGAACAAACATTTAAGTGTGACATGACGGGTTGTAATTCTTACGGGAGTTTATCTGCAGGACTGTTTCTTGGTCAGACGAGGTATCTATCTTCA